CAACAATATGCTTCGAAAATACCTTCGAATTGGAGGCAAAATAAACGCTGATTTCCTGGGCGGAGTCAGCCCTACTGTGCTCCTCCTCTTCGGAGCAGCAAGCATGAGAAGTGCACCAATGATGAAGGCGCAGTGGTGATACCTCCCGACCATTTCTTCATCTACATAGCCTAAAGGGGACAGTGCTTTTGCGGGTGAATCTAATTTTGTGTGTTCCGTTCGAAAGTTATCGAATTAATCGGAATTGCCACGAACATCAGGACCGCGTGAAAGGAGCTCTGTTCCTCCGAGGCCACTGGGATTCCGAAAAGAAGTAGAATGCATGCCGCATCCCCAGTAAAGGACTGATCAACGGGAGATTTATTCTTTCCCTTTTTAGACTGTGACTGCTTAGTCAATCTTACTATCTAAAACAAGATTGCTTGCCTATTACTTCAAGAGGCGATATCTGGTAGTGAAAGAATCTTCGAGTGTATACCTTTATGTAAGAGACTTTAGGCAGCTCTTCCTTAGCCGAGTTATTCTCGGCGCTGAGGGTGAGGAATACTGTTAGCGAGACGAAAATTCGACCTGAAATGTCGCGAGTGAAAGATGTCAGGAAAAACGGATTTATCAGGCATTCCTATTCGGTGAAGGACTCAAAGGAAGCAAGAAGGACAAAAATAAAATTTCGGGACTATCCCTGAGTACCTTCAACGAATTCTTCAGGGAGCCACACACTAATCCATGAGAAGACGACGCATATAGCCGTCGGGATGTAGGTCTGAGCCAAGTGATATCCAAGCTCTCGATGCAAGAAGAACCTTGCCACTAGACACGAATAGTTACCTGGATATGATATTATGTACAAGTTGACTTAATGCCTCTGGCATCGATTAAACCTATTACAATCGCTTGCGCTACAGTGTGGAGAAAGCTTAACGAACATTACACAAAGAGGTGTGGGCCAAGATGAGCGAGTTGCGGCGGCAAAAGCTCAGGGGGGGGGTCGGGCTGGCACGGTGTCAACTCATTCTTCACCTGATATGATCGCCTGGTCAGCTTCCTCAGTTGGTGGAGAACAGGCTGCCGCCGCGCCAAACCCATCCTCCCTAAAACGCTCCAGTGTCCGCAAAGAATAATACTGTATAGAAAAGATGCTTAACTACAACAACGCATGCAATCACCTGATTTACGATGGCCGTCACAAGTCTCGGCTTTCACATTTATGAGCGACAGTTCTGGTATTTCGAGATCACGATTCAGTTGAATGGCGTCAGATGGCTCAGAAAACCACTCGAATACCACAGCGTCAGATGTGAATCCAACTGAAATCCACAGAATCAGGGACCACAACACGTTCCTCTAGCTTCAAGAGCTCATATGAAAAAAGACTGTCTTATGGCATATTTCCTATTCTCAAGGATCACGAAAAAACATTTGGGTTCCGTTCAGCTTGATCACTGTGACAGTCCTGTTCGCTGCGGACGCTAAGGCGCTTGAAGGCAGTTGGCACGATATCCCCCAGACGACTAGGATCAATACTCCTGGCAGGATAGAATTCCGCGACCCTGGGCAGGCGCTGCATAGCGGTTTCCCCGAGGTGCCCTTATAAGGGCCCTATCAAGCCACAACTTTACGTCCCAAACGCCGCCGCCCACAAATGGACGACCGTTCCGAACGCGTACGCGAACTCGTCCGAAATCGATTACAATGTCACTTGAGAAACGCGAGGCCTTCTTCTTCGGCAGATTTGACCGGTTCACTCCATTCTTTCGCCATTTCCCCCTTCAGCGCCCTACTAGCATTTTAGGCTAAGTACGAAACCATCGTGCCAATTGCCTTTAAGGGGGCTTAGGGCGGGGGGGGGGGTGGGGGAACGGGCGGCACCAGTTCCGTCCCCTACCAATGTTGAGGTAGACAAGGGTCATGAATTGCTGAAGAACGGACCGGCTCAGACCTAGCCCCACTGACACGCCCCGACATTTGTAGCGAACAAGAATGTTGATCAGCATGCATACACTCCTCATCATTACGGACTGTCGGGGCGTATCAGCCAGAAGGAGTGCGCACACTGTTTGAAGCCGTTCTCAGCCTTTTCTTTGAAGCGCGTATGCGACAAAAAGTGGTAGAAAACGAGTAATACGAAGGATATAATGCTGTTATGTCATTTGATCGCTTCAACAACTGGTGCAGAAAGACTTTGGAACCGCGGAAAACGCAGCCGCACTGACCCGCCCCGACAGTCCGTAATGATGAGGAGTATATGTAACAGTACTTGCGGTAGTCAGCCAAGGAGAGTTCACAAAATGCCTTCCCCCCCTCCCCTCCCGCGTCACTGACAAGCACCCATGCAAAATGGACTTCTTTGGTCGAACGGGATATGTTGTATGTAGCGCCTTTGACCTTTATGGAAAACAGTGAAACTCACGTGAACTGATTTTCAACGAACAGGCAGGGTTATCGTGTGGATATTTACAGAGGACGATTTCCGCAGCGGTCGGTTTCAAATAGACCCGAAAATCCAGGAATACTTCTCCTCCGGGAAAAATGAACATGTAGAAGTTGAGGTAGGTAACCTGAAAGACTAGCAGAATATCTTAGTATTGTGCTGTCAGAGTCTCAGTTCGAGAGTATGAAGAGGCACTCAGAGTTTCTTTTTTCAGAATACTTAGACCCGAAAAGGGAATTCAAATTTTTTCACAAAATTACTTCTTTCTTCAAATATTTTGGCGTTCAGCCCCTTCCTCAGTGGTCTAGAGCGTGCCTCTGCTGATAGTACCTACTCCTACGGGAGCCCCGCCTTGAAGTATTGACTCTCACAAAAATTACTAGCACACAACCTGAATCGACACTTGGTCCAGAAACTGCCCGATCTTCAACGTATTACCACTACTTCTTTGTGCTTATAATCTTGGGGCTTCCTTTAGGGCCATCTACTGGAGCTTAAATCCACGTGGATGTCGAAAACATTCTCGAAAACCGCTTGCCTGCTAATTACTAATGATTGAACGAATCTCATTTTTCTAAGATTGGAACTGGCTGGAAATTCAACTTTCACATGAACATCATAGGACTCTACCCGCAGCTTTCGAAAAACTTACTTTTTGGAACGTGGCTGCCTTTGCATTCGTGAATATTGGATCTGGTCGCCAGATTTTCTTCAGAAATTTGAACTCATTGACGAGTATCGGACGACTGGATCCGTGCCTCAGACGCGGATCGTACCATGCCATACGAAGCCAGGTGTCGAGATCGTAGTCCTGTAGGATCGCGGAACGAAAAATGTCAAGGAGAGGAGAAATAGTCGAGAGCTCATTCCACGCTGTCCATTTGGGCGGCATCGAACTTGACATTGTGCTTTCTTCACTACTGCACTCTTCTCTTTTGAGACGGCAAAGAGGAATAAGAATAGCAACTCGCCCATGAGACCAGCGCCACAAGGAAGGAACAGCAGAATCTTCTGACTTACCATGGTCGACAACTCAAAATTACTCATTGCCTGGATTTGTAGACCGATTTTGACGATCACTTTGTCGCCAACAAACAAAACAGGAGGGGTTCTGGAATTTCGAGGTTGCTAAGAGCTACCGTAGTCAAAGCAAATTACCTTGAATCGTATTCCACCCTCTTCAGAAATGGAATAAGTCGTGTGGCCGGAAACGGTCGCTGTGAGGCTACGTCGTTTGATTCAAATCGCCTACAGTTAGCAATCAATGAATTCGTTTCGAAAAGAATGATCTCTATTACCGTAGGATTCTATCAAGATGATCTGGGTTTCTCACTGGCTCCATGAGCTCTTCTACGGAAGTTTCCAAAAGGCTTAGGTTGAAGGCAGGTGTTCCATATTTTTCTGCAAAGGATAATCATAACCAATCAAAAAGAATCTCGTGTGGTAACCCTGGGGGGGGCACACATGCAAGCTTTTTCCGTGTGTGCCTTCATTCCAGTGAGTGGTTGTAGACAAGCAGATGGGCAGCTGGACACTGGCTCCTCCCGAGACATGTGGCACCTCCAGGTCTTCGTTGATGCCTTTGGGCGGGGGGGGGGGAGGAAGGGACATTCAGAGGGCTCGTAGGTTGTCCGTAATGGTCGGACTTTTGCCCAGGCCTTCAAAAACCCTGGTATTGGTGAGGCTAATTAGAAGTCACGACTATATACTCTTTCTCTCTCTTCTTCTCTTCTACTCTATTCGGAGGGCGGTCGCTGAGCGAAGGGGTCCTTCAGATGCCCTTTCAAAAAAGAACAACCTCTTTTTCTACCACACTGGAGAAGCACCTAGTGGAATGCCTACAAATGAAAAGGATGCCGAAAGCACGGCTCATTCCATTTTGTCTCGTTGATAGGCCCTCTACAAATACTGAACTACCAGTATGTAGGGAGTTCTATTGGACTCAAATAGTGGCTAAAGCTTCACAAGACCACACCTCATCTAGAGTCACAAACCCCGAAAATGATAGGGCGGGTGATGGGGCGTGGATCAATGCGTTACCGAGGCGGCTTCTCCATCAATGACGAAATCCATGAGTTTGGCAGAGAGGCTGTTTTGGCTGCGGTCCAATTCACGCCCCTTCACACGCCTTCTCATTTGCAGAGGTCATGACTATACTCATTCTTATAAAAATCTACTTTCACCTTCAAAGTATTGTAAATCTTCCGGTTCATCTTCTGTAATTGTTCCATCACAGATTCGCGAAGCGTATATCGCTATAGATTCGTGATTCAGAAATAGACCATCATTTAGACCGAATTGTCCTTCGGCGTTCGATTTCGTGTCATTCACGTATACCACAAACTCCTCATGAGCCTAAATTGGCAACCATGCTGTTTCAAGGGAGTGGAAAGCACCACACGAATTAAAACTTAAAGAAAACCCACATTTCTGGAGTCCTCCAATATTGTCTCATCTCCCTGCCTCCCACCGCTGGAATGTGAACTATTGGATAGACGACAGCAAGAGAAAAAGGCTCTCTAATTCACCGATATTTTTTGGTGTAAGGCACTTATTCGTACTGCGTTCGATGCTAAAGAGAGCACCAGAAGGCAGGGCACGCCATCGCACTGTGATCATTTCCTGAAAAATACGCCCCCCCCCTAATTCCATCCTCAAATACGACCCCCTCCTCATGCTACCTACCACTTTCCTAGATTTCCCAACTTCCTACCACTTTTTCCATTTCTCCCAGAAAATTTCCGGTTTTTCAGCCAAGAATTTTCCGTTCGAGCGAGGGGGAGGGGAGAGTTCGTCAGGATTTCACTATCATTTTCAACTATCCGTAATAGTAATTTTATAGATCTTTGGCAGTCCCTCTCCCAACAACGACCAAATACGACCCCCCCCCCTACCTCGCGGTCAAATACGACCCCTCCGTTGTGATCATCAGAACGATGGCGTGCCCTGCCAGAAGGAGTAGGAATGATACGCAGACACGATGGCAACATGGTGTAGCGCCTCAGGCAGCGTTCAGACTTTGCGTTACGAGCGTCGACGCGGCGGTCTACGGAGAAATTGAGCTTTATCCCGTTGAATGCATCGGCCCCGGAGTCCCCTCACTCGCGATCTTGGGTAAAATGTTCATCCCCAAAATAGCGACAAGTTTTTTGCACTTTTCAATGCCTTATCGAACGCAGTCTCTATTCGTCTGCACTCCGGCCTTTCGCACCAGGACCCCCAACGAAAGTTCTAGAAGTTCTAGTTGTCACGTAGTCCTATGCCATTCGAGGCAACTCAACCGTAGACAGGTGTCGATCGGCGCCGGCCGCTTGTGTTTCGAGAGAGCATAGTATCATAGGAGGTTAGGCACTGCCGGCGCAGTTTGTTGACGAGGGGGCATTCTGCTCCATAGATGTGCGCGACCATTCTAGTAAGCCCTTTTCCTCGAGTTTACACGCTTTTAGGATGGTTGGACGATCTGGCTCTCAGCTCCAAGCGTTCACATCGGAAGTCTTAACAGAGTGAGACATGTCGTAAACCGGAAAACTCTCGTGAAGCAACGGTAGTACAAAAGCCCCCCCCCCCCGTCGATCAAACAGCGCCGGCACCTGCTCTAATCACACAGGTTCGCTATCGATTGGTGCCCGGTTCACTAAGTGTTCCCGAGCGATCGTGGGAAGTGTTCCAGATCGGGGAAGTGAGAAGGAGACTAGGCAACGCCGACCTTCCCCTTATTCTATGCTCACTCAACACACTTGGTGAAATTGTGTGGTGGGCTCACCCTTTCTTCTACTGGTTGTTTCTAGATCACCATCGGAGGAGCAAGGCATCCGGGGGGGGGGGGGGGGAGGGGCTTGTGCCCAACCCTCCTGATATCCAAGATGAAAATCTCATCAGGACCAAATTGTATGTCCATTTTCACGAGTGAAACGGAAGAAACTCACGGGTTTGTTACGGTCTCACTCCTGTTCATTCGACACAATACATCGGTATTTACGCGATATTTTTCGGCTGACGATCGGCTAACAATCCTTAGCACCCGAGGATGAAGACGGCAAACGTTCTCAAAGTTGATGTCCACTTCCTGAAGGGAAAGCAGAATGAATCACCCAATATTACTTCACATGGTAATAAATTCCTCGAAACGAATAAGTTATAGATGGAATATAGACGCAATGCAGAAAGGATTCCTCTCAGAAGTCCAGAAATGAAGGATAAAAGCATCCTAACAAGGGTGTAAGGGTTACTATTGTTTTCAGCTATCAAGTGCTTCTACGAAATGCTTTTCTTCAACTGCCACCTGGGCTAAACTAGAACTTTAAAAACTTCTCACTGTGAAATTCAGGAGAAGTTCGACGGGAACGTGGTACTTAATAGCATTGAAGTCATTATCGATAAGCATCCATTGCCGACGATACGCCAGCAAATCGAAATCCTCCTCCGTCAAATCGACGACTGTACGCTGAAAATTAGAATTGATTCGAATTATTTTGCTTCGACCGGCGAATATTCGTTCCCATTGCAAATAATCTGATAATTCTACTTTACAAGAATTAGAGAAAAACCGTATATCCATATTTGTGGATCCTGGTCCTTTCGGGGAGAATGGGTCAGCAGCTGCTGTAGCGTGTCATTTTCTCCGGCCAAAAGTGCACGAGAACGGAGCAGGAGGGCAGTGAGATTCATAAACTGCCCGCGCAGCCGCGCGACCAGCCATACGCCTAACCATGGCCAAACGCGCTAAATGTCTGAACCTTGGTATCGACGCAAGTACTTCACCTAGAGGATAGAAGGGCAGGGTATGAAGACAGCACCCAGGTATCATCACCCTACAGTACGTTCCCGTGCAGTTTTGAGGGTAGAAAGTGGCACGCTACTGCAGCTGCGGATCTACTCGGTAAGTGCCGTCTTTGGAGGCGAGTTAACAGTTTGCCTTCAAAAATAGATGGGACCTATAAAACTAGCCTTGGCCATTCATATATCAAACCTCCCACTCTTCAATTTGAAAGCGGGCGGTAACCTTTTCAAGAGATTCGGCCCAAAGAGTTACAACTTTCCCGTTTGTATTACACTCTCTCTTCTTACGCAGCCGATTCGACGGCGTTATTGATGAAACAAATGTTTTTGACATCTGCTCTCCAATTTGCCCTTGGTTGTCGTTCTACAGTTCTCTTTTTTGATTATCTCAATTTTCATGGCCATTTCGAGATAACTTCAAAAACGGAAGATTGAAATATGTTCGCGTTGGTATTACAGTAAGTCAACATGTCCTCAGTCTCATCACATAGAGGAGGGAGGGGGGGGGGGGGGGGAGGAACGGGGGAAGTACTCAACACTGATTCATCTCATCCCATGTCGCCATGCATTTTATTCGGTGCAATTCTGCCCCAGACGCTGGGCTACTGGGAACTAGCCGATGTTCTTCACTTCATGCACTTTCGGAGAAAATGGCGTCAACCTTCGTGATCCCAGCAAATGATAGGGCGTGTGAAGGGGAGTGAGTTGGATCGCAGCCAAACCAGCCCTTTCCGCCTATTGTTGCGGACTCAGAATGATGGAAAATACGCCGCCTTAGCAGCGCTCCAATCCACATCCATCACACGCTCTATCGTTTGCAGGGATCATGGAGTACATGCTTGACCCTAAAACGTATCAAACACTGTGGGAATGGGAAAATTCCGAAAAAGACAGGACAACTTATGAGTACCTTAACAGTACCTTAACACCTGACACTATACCTTTCATTTCTCTACACGAGACTAAAGAAAATAGTGAAACTGAGGAAAAAGGCGAGATTCCAGAGGAAAAAACCATAGGATTTCATGGGAGACTATGCGAACTTCTCACTTTCCGGAGATTATGGCGGAAGTACAATTACAATCGGCAAGCAACAAGGCATGTACGGGGGGTGGACTGGAGCGTTGTCAAGGTGGTCTTTCCCTCAACGAAGCCACACATGAGCCCGCAGCGATTGGCTGGAGGGCTGTTATGGCTGCAATCCAACTCACGCCCTTCCCTTCACTTCAAAAACCCTATCATTTGCTGGGATCATAACTGTACACAGTGGTGAAAGCTTCGCACAAAACCATCCCCAATAAAAGGACAATCAGGAAGGACGGCTCAAATGGTCTTTTTCATCAGGTTTTAGTCTCCTGGTAGAGATCTGACTGGAGACATTCCACCTATTTTTGGTGATCGTATGCTACCTCAATTTGATGTTAGGTGAGACTGAAGTTTCGCCCCATTACTCATGTGTTGTAAAAGCGCACTTATGCGTGCATCTAATAAATAAATAAATATTGGTAGCGGTTTAGTTTCCTATACCGCGTAGTTGGTGGAAATATAGCATGACTTCAAGAGTTTAAAAAAATCTGACCTGTGTTTTCCACCAGAGCATCCATGCTGTGCATTGGGGATGCTCAGCGGGTGTTAAACCAGCGTCTTCAGCTTCATAGGTGGTTAAAATAGTGAGTCTTTCAGCGTATGTACAGAAATTCAATAGTAGCAGTACATAGAGAAAGGCGAATCGCATCAAGACATCAGTCGCACACTGGCCGTAATTCACCTTTCTGATTTTCGTTTTGAGAACTGGTTTTCCTATGCGCCGACTGAAAGCGCGATAATGATTGTCCACGAACGTCGGAACAGCCGATCATCAGCTCTTCTGCGTGGCGCATTCTAGTGTTTTCAGGTGGGATTTTTCCTGCAACCGTTAGCAAAAGAATTTTAAGAGACCATATTAGGCGCTAGGTAAGTTTCAGTAGTGAGGAGTAGATTCGCACGCCGGGAGAGCAACATGTTCCTCAGTGTGAGCGCTTTTCCACAACCTAATAGCAGCTCTACAAAGCAACCCACCCCAACTCCACCGCCCTCTGTGACCGATAGCAAAACAGTAGAGACAATTACGACTTCCCCCCCCCCTCCACCTTACGACTGCTGGAATACGATGCCCCTGCTCCTAAGAAACCCCAATACACGGCGTGCCCTTGTCTAGTCTAATATTTTGACGTTACCGCACCACGGCTCCCATAAGCTTAGCTGGCATGTCTGTGGTACTTATAGATGACATCGTCGCAGTCCAGCAGGTCAGTGTCAGGAAGCCTGGAATGAGCCCACCGTGGCCAAGAAATAACCTTTAGAAGACAACGCAACTGGTGGGCTGATTCTTGACCTCCTCGTGCCGCTGCAGTTGGATTGCGACCGCTATCGATTGGTAAGATCATTCTGATAATCAATAGGAAGCGCTCGTTTTCATTTTCGCCAGTACGCGTCTCAGAAAAAGGAATTCACGCTTTCTTTTGGCCTTCTGAGATTGGCGCGAGGCCGTGGTCGGCGCCACTTGGTCCTGGCGACTAACCTCAGCCAAATTCACGTCACACATGCTGAAATTCGAGCTATATCTTCTAATACCGGTACACAATCTGCCAGAGCAGCTACTATCAGCGATTCCCTGCTTTCGATGTCCTGCGAACGCTCGGAGCTCGGTGATATGGAAAAGCTAAGATAAGCAAATCCACTCAGCCCGCTTTCACCCGCTGAATTGCGTAGCTCTTGAGCTGAGTGGCTGGTGTCCGGCAGCATCTCTGAGAAAAACGAGACATGCAGCATTCTCCCCAAAATCTCTTTTTCTCTTCGCTCACAGAGGTTATTCAATACCTGTCTCGCGACGGGTCTCAATTTTGGCGCAGAGCCATTTGCTATCACTTCTTGAGAACCCTTTTTTTCCAAGATTAGGTATAAACCATCCCATAGAGATAACCGAGGGTTTTGGTCGCAAATACGACATTGATTTTTGCGAAGGCAACAAAAATACAGCCATAACCCGGCGAACTGATAGGGACATGGTACAGCATCGTGTTGTGTGAAAGGTACCACCCCAATCCGAGAGAGAGCGTCAGTACGACCCCCCCCCCTAGAAGAGGGTCTCGGTACGATCCTCCCCACCCCCTTCCCCAGCACCTAACTACCGATTTCCCACATTTTCCAGTTTTTCACCCAAAGATTCTCCTACGAGCGCGGCGGGGGAGGAGGGGGGAAGGGGTAAAGAAAAATTACGCGAAAAATCAACAACCTGAGTTTTCTTTCAACAACACGGCAAATTCCTCCCACAGCCACATACGACCCCCTCTCCCAACAACGACCAAACACACCCCCCCTCCCGAGCGTAAAAGTACGACCCCCTAGGAAGCATGGATTTGAGCCCAGGATTGGAGCCAACCAATCCACACTATCTAAAATGCCACGTCTGTATGTCACTCCATGGACTGCAAACGTTATGTTCTTGATCAGGGCGCTGAACAAACTTCGCTGACGAAACTTTAGCAAAAAAATCAGCAAGTTGGATTACAAAGTAGAATAAGGCCAGCTGCCGGCTGATGTGTTTCCTGATGATCTTTTGAATCTGGGTCAGAGGATTGAGTGACCAACTTTCCCCATACTCCCCTTTTCGAAGCTGTCCGGTGAAAAGATTGGGTTACGAACACTCATAGTTGTGATTCGTTAAAGAACCGTTGCGGTTTCGGGTAGGACGAGCAAACGAGAGACAGGCTCTCACAAAATCATGAGCTCTATTTCCCAAGAGGATGATACCGATTACCACGGACGCGGTCCAGGTGTCAACCATGGTCGGTTGCCGCCCGGGCTATCCAAACCCTCCATCTTTTCAAGACAGTAAATTTGTACCAGACACGTCTGGAAGGATAAACGGTGCCTCGTACATCGACATCTTTCCTCTCCCCCTTGTCCCTCTACATATCTAATCGCATTCTAGAGGCATTGCCAGCCCGAATAGCAGTAGAGTACGTGGCGCATCCTCACAAGAAAGGGACCAGGATAAAGCTTCATCTTTTCAGCTTCTTCTTTTCAATAAGGGGTTTTGAAGGAATGCGCTATATCCCTTCCCCTTCACTCCCCTCCCCCGCTGACGGTAGTTTTTTTGGGTTAAAGTGAAGGAATTTTTGGAGGAAGAAGCTCCGGAAAAGTATTAAACACATGGGAAAGTTCAGGAAGATAGTAGGCAGGATTGGGGACAAGGAAGGGATAGAGGTCGTCTCAGAGGTGGAAATTTTGAGCGGGGATCTTATTTTGCAGAGTTTTCCTGAACAGCATGATATTCCCTGGTTCAGGTGTACTTGTAAATGATCCTGGCTTACAATAAGTTCATCAAAGATTTTGGCCTTTTTTAAATGCGCTATATGCCCCCGTCCCCCTTTCTTCCCTCCACTCTCCGTTCGACGGTAGCTTTCTGGGTTAATAGTGTAGGAATTTTTAAAAAGAGCTTGGGAAAAGTAGTAAGAACTTGGGACTGCCTAGGAAAATAGCAGGTGGGATAGAAGACAAGGAAGAGGATGGTGTCCTAGTTCTAGGGATACCTTGTTTTGCTGAATCTGTCCTTAACGACCGGATGTGCTTGGTAATTCTAGCCTTCCTATGAACACTACCACTGTGCCCTTCTGTGGAGGTGTGACCGAAGATGCAACTGAAACCACCGAATCCCGCCATTGTTTTCTACTGCGCAACCGTCGTCGTGCAGCTTTTTTCCCAGCCTAAGCCCAATGCTTTTCGTCTGAACACTCCTGACCAACTCGTATGTCCACTTAAGGACAAGGGTAGTCCTTCGTCGTGCGGCTAGCCGTCTTCTCGTCACGTTCCCATACACACTCATTTCGGCTGACCTTGCGCTATGTATGTAGCGCACTCCGTACAGAGCGCTATCTCTCCACATGACAGCCTACGAGCCACCACCGACCGCTCGCCAATCCTCAATAGCATGCCGTCAATCGATCGCCTACGAGCGTCTCCATTCCTATGCGGTTAAATTGTCATTTGCCCCGGCATCTGAACTCGTTTCACTCTCTCATTTTCAATCATACCCTCCCGACCCAAGCGCTCGTCAGTCCTAGAACGACGAGATTTAGGGACATTCCCCCGTCGCTGAGGTTCTCTCACCCCGTGTTTGAGGCCGATTGCGTTCACATATCAATCGCTCCTTTGTGGTGGCATGGTCAACTGATGGCGATCATTTGTTCAGTACCACCAATCACATTTCGTTCTGATACCCCGCTCCTAATTAGACCTGTTTACTGTGATTATAAACTCGCATTTTACTTGCGAGAATAGTGTGATACTATCACATATCTCACTGTCTAGGCTGGTAGTAGTTTTGGGGCGCTTAAATAACTCTTGGGCACTACTTGTAAGCGCATTTCAGCATACCAATTCGTGAATCATCGCCGTTTTGATCCGATGCTAAATTGAATACCGGACTACTGTGTCAACACCGCCTGCAAACCTTGTTCCCTGGTCAAGCACTTGAAGCCCTTGTCAAACTGTGTTAAAATGGGACTGGTAAAGAGGAAAAATAGAGAGAATAGTGTTAATGAGGCTCAGTACCATGCGCAAGCACAGAATAGATACAGCATGACGTGGGAGCGGTCGTTTGAGCGCGACTCAACACTGCCGATGACGCGCTCTAACAGGTTATGGTACGTATCTAGTAAGTTGGACAACTCGTCCGTTCACTAAATTGTGAGGTTTTCATAATTTACAGCCTACCTAAAGCCGCAAATAATGGCTTCAGTGCACATGCTTCTCGAGCAGGTTATCTACCAAAGATTACTTATGGAAATGCACTAGTTTAATGCTTGGACGAGTTATCTTGCATAGGAGACGGTTGCCTGACGTGTTTTGACACGTCGATAGCAAAATAATCGCTCCAAACGACATAGATCCCTTGACAAGAGTCTACAAGGTTCCCACGGTAAGACACGATTGTTGAAAGGCAAAAAAGAAAGGTAGTTGACAAGTGTCCAATGGTGTGCCACCCCAAAAGTTATTAGCACCCAATTTTGACACATTTTTGTGCAGGTCCAAAAAGAATCAGAATAGAAAAAATCGGGCTAGGTCGACTGGTGAAGCGGTTCAAAGGACTCTTTGTTCAAAACTGTAATACCACCGTAGTGCAAAACTCCTGTTACTCGAAGTGATTACCACCCATCCCGGAGTCCTTCATCCCTGGCCTCATTGTCAGACGGAAATCCACAGCAGCTATCCAAATTTCGCACAAGAGGTCTTTGAAATGCCCCTTCCTCTCCGCTTAGCTAACAGTCACTACGCTCCACCCTACTGGGTTGAGAATAGCGCCGAAACGCAACGTGTCCCTTTTACTGAAATGCCCCGGCAAGATGTGGTCATTGTTCGTGTAACATCGTAATCGGGGTTCAATGGGCTTCATAAGGACTCTGCTTGGGCGCGCTCGACACGGGCCAACAATTGGGCCAATAACCAAGGCTACGTGGAGAGTGAAACATCGGCCATGCGAAACAGACTATTCATTTGCTAGGATTTCCATTATTCGATCTTAATGGGGCTTCAAAATGGTCTCTGCTCTGCAATTTTTTCAATGAGATTGTCTGTCTATCGTCTTCAAAACACATTTCGCGCTGCTTCAAAGGCGGGGCCGGGTATATCATTGTGTCATCTTCATAAGCAATCCCTTTCTCTCTGTTAATTCAGGAAGGTGGCGCTCGCCAT